GTGTCTATAACATCTTACATTGTTTTAAGATACTGACTTCTAATTTTTTTCACATTTTCTATCACTGGTATAATATCAACAATGAGCACAGTGGTGAGAACATGTAGAGGTGAGGAATCAACTTCAGCCAGAAGCAAATTACCAAGGAAAATAATAATTTTGTTTTGTTTTGTTTAAGGTCTTGGGTGTGGGGGAGGGGTGTTACATTATTGTCTTTGTCTTTTCCATGTACTTCATCAGTAAATTAAGTAATGTCAGGGTTTATTTTATTACGTTTAAATCACCATTATTCAAAAGAGATTTGTAAACATTCTGATGAAGACTTAGACAGCTTGGAGAAAGCAAATATTTTATGGAGAACTCCAGTAAAAAGCAGAAGTTCCTCTAAATAAGAAATCATTTCCTCTTAAGAAAAATTAATTCTGATTTTACATCAAGGTAATAATTGTAAGAAACAACTATTCTAAGAAGTATTTAGCATTTTCATTTTATCTACTTTCCTTTCTCTACATTTTTCTTTTACTAAAATTTTCCTTTCTGAATTCCATCAGAGCGACTATTATACATGTGTGTTCACAGACAATGTAATGTTTCATGTATGTCAATACTGTCTGCACCTGAAGTCACTAGAACACCATCTGTGTAACCCTTCATAGTTTTATTGTTTAAAAAACCTCAAATTTAAGAATATCAAAATCCTCTACAAGGCAGAATTTTACTTTTTCTTTCCAGTGTCAGGCATTATGACATATACCTACTATTACTAAAAGTGGTAGCCATAGTAAAAATTTCAGAGAAAATTAAAACTAGCAAATGTTTTCTGCATAATGACTTAGATGTTAGAGGGAAAAGGGGGCAGATGGCAGCAGCTGAACAGATAAATGTTAATTATATAGTGATCAGTTTTTCCCTAAGGAAAAAATGTTAGTTGAAGGTGAAAGGTTAGTGCTTCTCTTTCCCCTTTCCTCTTTAGATCTTTTTCAATGCCACCCATGGATCTTAGAGGAAAATGAAGAATCTGGTCAGGAGCACTTAGTACTCCAAAGTAATTTAGTGAAAATGATACATATACTACAGTTAGGTTTCAGTTCCTATGGGAGGTGTAAGAAGAGAGCCAATTTATTGAGTTCCCACCTTTTTTTTAATTATTATTATTAACTGAGGTAATATACTATTCTCACTCAATTTATAATCTCTGAAGATATGAAAGTTCAAAATATACCCAGGGATTAAAAGGTTGCATCTAAAATTTGAATGCTGAAAACAGAAAAATAAACCAAGACGACTATTTACAGTACCTGGCTGTAGTAGTAAGAGTGGCTTGGTGTTGCACACATCAGACACATTTATTCCATGCTGCACTATCCAATAGTGATTTCCATGGAGATGAAGGTACACTGCCATTCACTAACAAACTCATTAGGCAAGATCTGCCTTCAGATAACTACACAGCTGAAGTCATACCTTTGAATGACATATGGTAACACTTTGATTTTCAGATTACTAGAAACATTATTTTGAGCAAGTAATGAATAATTTTACTCAGATCACCTTTACAAAGTTCTCTGGCAAATCGAAGAAGTTGCTAGAACATGTTCAGGCTAGCTTTTCTTCTCTCTGAGAATTTATATTATTGATTATATAGAAGTAGGGAAAGGGACAAGATAAAAATAAGTTTGAATGAGACATAAATAATTAGTATTATCATTTGATCTGTTTTCATTTCTTGCATTTTTTCTTTTATTATATCTCTATTGCAAATTGCATCTGATCTATTACTATACATACTGTTCAAAAGGAGTGTAATAAGTTTCACACGTGTGTTAATTGTATCTGAAGTCACTAGAATGTCATCTGACCAATTAATAACATTTTTATTGTTTTAAAAATCCTCCCGTGTCTTAAAAGCATAATATTAATTGCATTAGAACCAGTAGAGATGAAGGATTTAAAACCTAGTATATTTATAAAGAATAGGGGTAAAATGCAATGGAATATAAATAAAATTCAAAGTTATTTTTCATGCTGTTCAATGAAAAATAATCAGTATTTGGATTAGAGATATGAAAGACAACAAAACCAATAACAATTAGCACCCCTGTTATCTTGAAAGAGAAAATGACATCTCTTCTATTGTTTTCATTTGCTATAGGTAAATAATACACTACAAAAAAAATAATATATATAAGATTCTCTTATAATGGGCTTAAAAAATAGTGTTTAAATCAATTTAAAATTTTGTTACACGATATCTTGCTTGAGGATTAGTTAAAAAGATATGTAGAATTCAAAAGCTTAATTTCAAACAAAACTTGTCAGCTCAACCTTCATTTTATGATTCAGAGTTAATGGGATATTAATAAATGATTCCTAACATGTTAAATGTAGAAGAAATTTATGGTTTTCCCAAACTGTGTCATGTAAAACAATGACCAACTCCCTTAAAAATGAAGCAAATAAACCTTACAGGTCCATATCTATACAACACTGTTGATTTGTGTTATGGGGACATGGACTAGAGGATAACAATGTAAATATATGCACATTTACTTATTTCCTATATTTGTTTAATATACCACCACCAGAAAAATCTCTGTAGTTTTTTAATTTCGTTTTTGAAAGCAGCCTTTCAAGTACTGTGTGTACATTCCATGTTGCAATTCACCATTTCTTCATCTCTGATATGTTACAGGGAATTTATCTCCACTTGTAGTTCAATAAACTATTTAAAAACTCCATTAGAGTTGTATTATACTATTTGTGAAGACTTTTCAGAGTATTTTGAAAGAATGTAACTTTGACAGTCTACTTGATCATCACTTCATTGAAAATATTATTAATTGCCAGAGAGTAACAAAGCAGTGATTTTTTAAGAGTTGTGGAACAGAAATAGCCATAGTTCTTGGCTATGTGGTTTTATCTTTGATCTCCATGAGGTCTGTCACAAGCAAATGTATTTGTTTTCTTTGATTTTGGTAGCGGTCGCAGTCGCAAATAGAACTTATCTACACAAAGCAGATAAACAGGCACTTCTTTATTCCAGCACTGAGGACATAACTCCACCAAAGACGTGTTCACCGACAGGTACAATCGCAACATATTTATACACTTTTTCAGCAGAGTCATGGTTACATAAGATCAAAAAAATTCATAAAGTTTAGTTTGACCTTAATAATGATTGGATTTCAGTTACCTCACCTATATATTCCTATTCTACAGAAATCATTGGTCATCTTTACTGATTGATTTGAATAGAATGAGGGGAGGCTAATGATTAGCATATTAATGTTATTTCCTGGAAATCATTATCATATGCAAATGTCTCTAACACATGCTTGGCTATGTTGGATGGGGTTCCTCTGGTGGTCATCGATAGTCTTCCTCACTTTCTCTGCTGATTGAACTCCATCCTTGTGCATGCTCATTTTATCTTTGGCTGATCTACCAAACCAAACCCAGTTTCTTCTGGTACCTATTGTTTTGACTCAAGGTCCATAACCAGTACCCATTGTTTTAATTCAGAGTCCATAACAATTCTTATAATGTTCAAGGCACACACCATACTAGCTACCTATTCCTAAGGGCCTTAGTGTGCTTTATATTCTCATAGCTGCTATAACTCTATTTTAAAATCAAAATCATATTCTAAACTAAAATCAAAATAATATTCTAGGATTCAAGCTATTTTATTAAGGTAACTGCAACAATTTCAATATCTTACTTGTTTTTTTTTAGAAATTTGCGGGGCCTCTAAGAACAGTAAACTGAGACAAAGTGAGTTTTTAAAGACAAAATAGGTGCGTGTCATCCTGTTGAAGGGCTAGAAAGTCTCTTTAATTCAGGCCTGAATAATCTTGAATGATTACTAATATTATTAATAATATCATAGTTCTAATAATGATTAACCTCCTTGTTCTGTTAAGGACCTCAATTTATTGAGTTGCCTTCTTTTGCCTTGTACAAGAAACTAAGATTTATATATCCTACTTTGGGAAAATTGCTTAAACTTAAGGTGGGCTTGTCTTAGCTCCCTGGAGGTAAAGGTCTTCTGATTCTGCTCTATCAAAGACTCTCATAGTTATCCCACTCTTATTGCAGGGAAAAGCAAAAATCATTTGAAAGGAGATAGGATTTAGGATTTTCTAAGTACCTGTACTATAATACAGTAGCATACAGTTTTATCCAAACTGTCATGTCTTAATGCCAGTATTTGCAACTTCCACATATCTTGAGTAAAATGAACTTATTTTTGTATAAATATTTTTCTGAAAAGGAACTATTTTTAATAATTGCTAACTTTAGTATGCAACATATGAAAAACAACTGGTGTCAAACTCTTCAAAGGATGCAGAGAAGACGTAAAGCAAACTGAAGGTGGATTGAATAGTCTGAAAATTTTATTTTCTGTTTTCTACCTCTGTTTTATTAGGCTAAAGTACATGCAATAATTCTAGAAATAAATTAAAATAAACAAGATTTCTTGATACAGGTTATTGTATTTTTTGAAAGCTGATCATTCACTCAATTTTCATATTTAAATCTCAACTAAATCAAGTAAACCATTCTCCAGTTTCTTGTAACTGATAAAAATATTTCTATGTTGGTAAAATGCAGACTAAAATTTATGTATAATTGCTAAGTGGAATTATTTAATGAAGAGGATCTAATTGTTAACATATCAGAAAATGAAGTTTTTCATGTTCCTCTTCTTTGGTATAGGAGCTTTCATTCTACTAGAACAAGAAATTACTTAGACCTCATAGAATAAACATGATCTAGTAGATAAATAAGCTGACTAGATGTGCAGAATGAAAATTAATCCATCTGAGGCCTTGAAAGAAATTATTTTAGGCTTCACATAGACTGGTACCATTCTGGTGTTTCTCAAACTGTTTGGGCAAAAAAACCCTAACAATTTCCACAGTGAACTCTGTCACACTGGAAGAAATTTAGGAAGCAAGCGAGCACCAACAATAAAAAGGTGGTTCTGATTGTCCATAGCCGGGGTCCTTCTGTGTGGTCTCATAAAGGAATGTTACCTAGGTAGAGTGGGAAAGAAAAAGTTTCAGTGTCTTAAAAATGGAATTTTCAGATAATTCTGGAGTTCAATACTGATCAGGTTTTCTATTTCCTCACCTATCATCTTCCTCACAACTCCATTTTTCTTATCATATGTAGATAATAGTATTCTGAAAGCAACATTTCGACTTGTAACTGCTCTATAGGCCTTTGTGCCCTGCTTTTCATTTCAAATTCTTATGTCATTATTATAAAAGTCCATTTTATAATAGATCTAAGTGAATAGCTGCAATTTTCCTGTGCCAAAATTTGAAGAAAAGAAAATGGTATCATAAGTTACAACTGTAATGGAAATTCTTTGTCACCTGTAAATATGGGCATTAGAGTGATGTTACAAGTAATGAAACTATCCCTGAGTTAATAATATAAAAAGCAAAAACTGTATGATAAAATTGACTTAATAACAAATTCTCTGATACTGGTGTACCTATAGAAGTAGAAGGATTTATTGATTATTTTTAATGCATACAAAGGCACAGTGATCTTGATTTAATAATCTATATTTGATGAAAAACCTAAAGAAGTTCTCTCCTAGAAAGTGACATTATTTTTTTCTCATTTAGTATAGATTTTTTTTTTTTAATTTATAAAATTAGTGATCTATAAAAAATAATCTAAGAAATACTCTTTTTCTGACTGATAGAACTGGCTGTGCACTGAAAACTGTTTCAAGATTCTAAGGTTTTTTATAACTAATAGATTTATCACCTTGATAAAGTGAAACAGAAAAATAAGATCAACAGTGCAATCAATAATATGGTGGTTATTTGGAAGATATGATAATTGTTTTAATGTTCTCTACAACTTCAGTGTAACACTTTCTAGTAGAGTCCATTTCACTGTCAACTGTCTTGTGGGCCATCAGCAGAGTTTCTAATATTTCCGCTAGGCTGAGATCTAAACCAGCATGGTTCTGTGGGCTGGGAAACTCACCACTGAAGAACATAATTGGAAATAACAAAATTACTTATTATGATATGCTCACTAAACAGGTAGTTCTTAAAATCTTGCAGAACTGAAAGATAAGCAACAATGAGCACATATGCAAACAAGCTGTAGTGTCCAATGTAAAATGCGAACCTAGATATGACTTTTTAAAGAAATAAAGTATAACTTTTAATGAAATAGTGTATAATTTTCTTGTGGAATAGAACTAAAGAAATGTTTTCAAATTTAGATTATACATTACTCTGTCAAAGTCTATAAAAAGTGACTTTTTGCAGCCTACTGTGGTTACAGTTTTAGCTATTTGGTAGAAATTTCCCCTGGCAGGGTGTAGAAATAAAGAAGAAATAAAAAGCACCTGTGCTTCCTCTCCAGTTTCAGTATGAAGAGCATGCTGGTAGCTGCAAAGATGGAAAAATAATAAAATTAATCCTTTAATGGTAACAATGAATCTCTTGTGAAATCAACATGATGCAGAGAATCTGTGAGAGCAGGGCTGGTGCAGGCTGGCTCACAGGAAGGAGGTCTATCACACACCCAGGTCACTTATAGTTTGACCAAACCTTAGCAATATGTTTTGTCTATCTGATTTTAAGCAAAAATGTGTTTTTACAGAAGAAAAAAAAAAAAAAAAAAAGCTTTGTGTCATGCATTCTTCTATAAAACGCTTTTTTTATATAAAAGTTTGTCATGGGATTAATATTTTGTGCTGACGATGTTTTTTATTATGTTGGTCTAAAATATCCCTTACTTGTTCAGACAAATTAATCAGATAATAAGTTATCAGAGCTTGTATAGGGCTTTTGAGAACGTGTGTCAAAGGATTATGCTGATAAAAGTATGTTTATAACATTTTATTTTAAAGTCATATTACCAATAAAATATGTATTCCAAGTTCTAGGACAGATCTGAAATATCTGTGCTGACATAAAAAGCTAAGGACCTGAAGGCATTTGAGGCCACGTGTGTATACATAATCCTCAGTAGATCCAGTTTTTAAATAGAGACAGTTCATTTTTTAAAGTTAGTTTATTGCTAAGAAATTATTCTCTGCTGACTCATCTGACCTTGGAGAAAAACAGCTGATGATTTTCCCAAACCAAAATTATTTTACTGCAACAGCTAAATTGCTGACCCAGTTTTGAGGGTGGACAATTCTGAATAGGAGTATGTCTGTAAATGGAATATGAAATAGCTTATTTTCTTGTTTGTCTCTCATGAATATATTTCTTCAAGCTAAATAACTTTCCTCTCATGAGCATATACATACAAACATGCACCTGATTTATGTCAGTATCTAATCACAGGTAAAAGACATTGCTGGTTCCCATGACAACTGCAGTTCATTATATTCATTGACCTTTTTTTCATCAGTATTTGCCTTATTATTCAGCACAAAAAAATTCTTGTCATATCAATAAGAACTCTAATACTTATAGATCTTAATGCTTTTCCTCTGTCCAATCTAAGAGATATTACTTTTCAGAAGTCCAGTTTGTCACTAGAAAACTTAATTTAAATGTAAGAAATATTCAGGCTGTTCTTGAGTGTTATTTATGTATGCTGCATCTATTATTTGAACATACAGGCAAAAGATTCTTCTTCCATCTATTTTGACAGGCTCAGCTCTTCAGAAAATTTATTTTATCTTTAATGTGAGAAGATGATTCCACTGGTACTTCTGGCACAAACTTAAAACTCAAAACACAAAGGAGCTAGCATGTATATTTTTGTCTCAGAGAGATAAAATTTATTGTAGAGAAAGATCTACAAAAATATTGTTTGATTTAAAAAAAAAAATCATAGTGGAAAATAAACAAATAACATAAGATGCAATCCTTCACCGTATCACTGTGTAGGGTCTGAACTTGAACTTTAAAATATATTTGCCTTTCATATGTGTTTATTCTGCTATTTGTAGAGCAAATGTGGGCCTTTTTGTTTTACTAGCTTAATCCAGTTCAAGTTTTAAAGCCTCAGGTGTCTATGATTTCTTTACCATAGCATAAGACTATTACAGACTTTGAATGTGGAGTTTTTTTCATAGTATTTTATATGTATGCTTATATTCTGTGTTTGTGTGTGTGTATATAGGACAGTAATTTTATATAACTTTTCTGTGCTTATCCATAAACTAATGGTAACTTAAGCATACTATGTCACAAGCGATCAGGAGTAAAACAGCAAAATACATCTTCATTTGTGTTTAAAAGTGTTGTAAATGGAAGAACACATTTTATGAAACAGTTCTAGCATTTGATATGAGACAGGTAGTTCTGTTTGAAATGTAGTTCAGACATAGCAAACTAGAAGGAACACACAATACAAAGTGACATTATTGTTTAAAATACAGGCAGTGAAGGATTCTTCTGACTTTTTCTGTAACTTTACATTTTAGTGGTCTCTTTTGTAACTCTCAAAGACAACTAATCCATGTTTTGTTACTCTATTTATATTATTTACACAAATTACTAGTGTATTAGAAGAAATTCACAAAACCATGCTCTTAAAAAAAGTCAGATCAGCTCAGAGGCTTATAGATTGGGGTTTTTTTGGGGGGGATTCAAATCATATTAAACTTTCATCCTGTGAGAGTGAAATGAAAATCTTCTTTTTTGAGATTTTTATTACTGTAATTATAATTTTAAAAGAATGATAGCTGATGTTCACTTCATTCAGAAATTTCATGGATATGAATTAGAAAATAGATATGCAGCTAATCATAAATACATTGTGAATTACTGTGTTTTCTGTTTGTTGAATTTTAAAGTTTTCTAAGAAAAGAATCATCTGTTTCAGTCACTTTTCCCAAAAGATCTTCCAAACACTTTCCGAATCCACTATTATGGATCTGGAAATGTCTATTCTACAACTCCCTATTACTGAAGATTCATAAAACTAACTCCAATATAGACAGGCACCTTTGGGCATAAAAAGTTATAATCAGAATAAACCTGAACATGTTTATGAGTTTAAGTAATCAACAGTCTCACAAGAGGAGGAGAAGCAAAACTGATAGGAGACTAAATTTTAAATTCCAAAAATGTGTTATATATGTACACAACATTCTGTTTATTGATCCTTCACTAGAGAAAATGGTAATCGCACTCTGCGTAGTTTACAGATTTGCCAGTACTTCGGGGAGGCTGAGATACTGTTTACTCTGATTGTGTCCTGAGCAGGATAACCTTTCAGGATCTCTGACTCAGTAAATCTTTTCTCCTCTGTACTCAGTAGCTGCCTGTCTTTGGCTGCCAGTCCTCTCTCCTCCATCTTGCACCACATTACTGACTGCAGTCTTATCAGTCCAAACCTCTGCATCCACTGTTCCAATAGGTTTGATTACCAGCTATCTCCTATCTCAGCCAGCCTGGTAGAAGTGAGTATATGCCTGATGCATTTCCAGATTTTTATCTAATATTGTATGTGCATCAATTGTCAGGAGTGAAAAAGACATGTTAAGTGAATTTGAAATCAGACTAGTCACTCTTAAACACAGGAGTAGAATAATAATAAAAAAAATAGATTACCTTGTTGCTATGAAAATGTAATATGTGTAAAAATTTTCTATTTAAATTAAAAGCATTCTTTATTTTAGTCCCCTCTCCCCCACAGTTTTTTCTTGAAAGGAAACACTTTTTTATTAATGTTTTTGGCTCATGATAGAAAATGTTTATTCCTTATATCTAATCATAATTTCCCATATTCCAGCTCATTTTTTTTGCCTCTCATCTTATTACTGTGCACCTCTGAGGAGGATCTGTTTCCATCTTCTCTGTATCCTCTGATTAGGCAGTTGTAGACAGTGATAAGATTTCCCTCAGCTTTCTCCTTTCAAGACTAAAGAGACCCAGATCCCTCAGCCAAGGGTGATCCAGGTCAAATGATTCATTCAAAAAATACTTCTGAACTGTAGATTTGGAGATTTTAGGCTTAGAGATTCTTCAACCATATACTGTTGTATCACATACCTCTTAGATCATATCCTTTATGTTATTTTGAATAATTTAATGGAGAAAAAATGAACGTGTTCTAGAAGAGGTCCAAATGAGAAAAAAAAAAAAAAAAAAAAAAAACAAAAAACAAAAAACAACATTATCAGTTATTCAGCTCAGTTTATTGAATACTAGAGATCCTAGAGGAAGCACTGAGCGGAGAATATACCTCATGTATCTCTAGCTTAGCAAAGTTTATTCTTCTAGGTGTCAGTGTAGGATCAATGATGGATACTAAAAATGTACAGCTCTGGAACTTTTTCAAGTAAGATTGAAATTGTTAACTTGGTTTCAGGATGCAGGTTGCCATTCGAAAATACAGTCAAATAACTTTTGGACTCCAGATGTCCACATCTTGAAATATGTGCTTGTCGTGGTTTAACACCAGCAAGGAACTAAGCACCACCCAGCTGCTCTCTCACTCCCCCCTGCTGGGATGGGGTAGAAAATTGGAAGGGTAATAGCGAGAAAACTCATGGGCTGAGATAAAGACAGTTTAACAGGTAAAGCAAAAGCCATGCACATAAGCAAAACAAAACAAGGAATTCATTCACCCCTTCCATGGACAGGTAGGTACTCGGCCACTCCCAGGACTGCTGGTCTCCATCATGCATAACTGTGGCTTGGGAATCAAAACACCATCACTCTGAACCTCCACCCCTTACTCCTTCTTGCTCCGGCTTCATGTGCTGAGCATGATGCCATATGGTATGGAATGTCCTTTAGGTCAGCCGGGGTCAGCCGTCCTGGCTGTGTCCCCTCCCAACTCCTTGTGCACCCCCAGCCACCTCACTGGTGGGGCGGTGTGAGAAGCAGAAAAAGCCTTGGCAATGTGCAAACACTGCTCAGCATCAGCTAAAACATCTCTGTGTTATCAACACTGTTTTCAGCACAAACACAACCCCATACAAGCTACCATGAAGAAAATTAACTCTATCCCAGCCAAAACCAGCACAGTGCCAGAAATCAAGCTTATCACTTCTATGGTTATGCATTAATATGGGAAAGAATTTGTTAAATTGCAGCTTTGTGTCATTTTTACTTTTATTGTTCAGTAACTATTTCTTCATGATCTTGTTTCATTTCCTTTTAAATAGTTCAAATCCAGTCATCTTTGTAATCAGCCTTACTCCCTGAGGTACATTAAAATAAGGAGAATTGTTTGGAACAGGTTGCTCAGAAGCTGTAGAGTTTCCATCAATGGAGGTATTCAAAACCTGACTGGATATAGTCCTGAGTAACCTGTTTTGGCTGACCCTGCTTGTGTAGGGGTTTGGACTAGATGTTCTCAAGACATCCCTTCCAGCCTCAATGATTCTGTGATTCTGTTTTCTAGCTCATCAGTTCATACTCTGTTATTAACCTTGTATATTTTCCTGTGGGTAAAATTTGCAATATGGTTAAAAAAAAAAAATAAAGTTCCTGTACTTGTAGCTATTTCAGAGCAATAGCTGCATGAAATACAGGTAAATGAAGCCTTTCCAGAACAAAAGAAAGGATACTCAGACTACAGAATCTAGGCCAGTTGCCTTCATATATTTTTCTTTTATCCTAGTGTGTGACCTAGATGTATCATATTTAGTTTGTTTACATTATATCCCTTGAGGGAAGCTGTAATATTTCCCCAGATAAGATTTTTGTTGGTCATGGGAGTTGCAGAGGAATTCTGACAGCAGATTTTCCCTTGGTTAAACACATACACAGAAACTATGCAGAATTGTAGCATTTTTGAAAGACATCTTTACATGTCCACTATCCCAGTCTCAACTGTTACCTGTAACTATAACCAGAGGGTAGGGGCATGAGAATCTGGTATTTTTATGGTAATACATTCAGACATACGGAAGTTTTTCAAATGTTCAAGATCATCTTAAATCATGTATAAAAAATAGCTTGTTAGAAAAGCTGGAATCTAAGATATTGTGTGCTGTATATACAATACAGCAGAATAAATGACAACATTTTTATTAAATGATATACATTCTCCTTCTGAGATTAGAGCACCATTTACTTTAATTTAATCAATTTAATTAAATGGAAATAGTGGCATAATCCCTCAGGGAGTATAAGGTTCACTTATGAAATATTCTGTCAAAAATATTTGAAATGTGAGCATATTTCCATCAGTGAAGAGCATGTTTAAATATGAACTCCCAGAGCTAATGCAATTTCCCAGCTATGTCCAAAATGTCAGCTTTTGTTGTACAGAGACAGGATAAAAAGTGAGCACAGTAAATTTACTTGCGTATAAAGTTCTCTTATAATTTTATGTTATAATTTCACACTGATTTAGAAATTAGTAAAAGCTATGTGATATTAGATAATCACTTGCCCAAATAACACACTAAGTATTACCTTAGGAAATGGTTTTCCATTTTCTTGAGATCATTTTATTATGGAAGAGAGGATAAAGTTCTCAGAGTAACATTTGTTCATAATTCAGCAAATTATTATATAATTTGGGTGTTATTTTCTGTAATGATACAAAAGTCTAAAGATAAAATTTCATAGTTAAGAGATCATTGTTAAGGATGTCAAAATTGTAAGTGTTGATACTTACAGTCTGTTAGTAAGCTGTATGATGAAGTTTTTAATAGAAATTAGGTTTTTATTTTAACATATATAAAAACATTAAATTAAAAAAAAAAAAAAAAAAAAAAAAAACAAACAAACCATAGCTTAAAGCAATTATCATAGAATCATCAGAGAATCATAGAATCCCAGGTTGGATCTCTAGGATCATCTGGTCCAACCTTTCTTGGCAAAAGCACAGTCTAGACAAGATGACTTATCACCCTGTCCAGCTGAATCTTAAAATTGCCCAATGTTGGGGAATCCACCACTTCCCTGGGAAGATTATTCCAGTGGCTGATTGTTCTTGTTGTGAAAAATTTTCATCATGTCCAATCAGAATCTCCCAAGGCATAACTTTTACATATTACCCCTTGTCTTTCCCATGTGATTCTTTGTAAAAAAAGGAGTCTCCATCATCTTTGTGGCCACCCTTTAAATACTGGAACATGGTGATGAGGTAACCCATAAACCTTCTTTTCTCAAGGTTGAACAAGCCTAATTCTCTCAGCCTTTCTTCCTGTGGCAGGCTTCCCAGTCCCCTGATCACCCTTGTGGCCCTCCTCTGGACCCTCTCCAGCCTGTCCACATCTTTTTTTTCCAGTGGGGACCAAAACTGAACACAGTATTCAAGGTGTGGCCTGACAAGTACTGAGTAGAGTGGGATGATGACTTCTTTATTGATGCTGGTGATGCCCTTGTTGACGCAGCCCAGCACCCTGTTGGCTTGCTTTGCTGCTGCATCACATTGTTCATTCACATTGAGCTTGTTGCCTACCAGGACCCCCAAGTCCCTTTACACAGAGCTTCTTCCCAGCCAGGTAGATCCCAGTCTGTGTTGTACTCCTGGATTATGTTTTCCCAGGATCAAGACCTTACTCTTGTCCTTCTTGAACTTCATCAGGTTCCTCTTAGCCTATTCATGCAGCCTCTTCAGGTCTTCCTACAGGGTGGCTGTCCCTTCCAAAGTGTCCGCTTCCCCACTCAGTTTGATATCATCATCAGACTTCATCAGGGTACACATTATCCCATCACCCAGATCACTTATGAAGATATTAAACAGTGTTGGGTCCAGTATAGATGCCTGGGAGACCCCACTTGTGACAAGTTGCCAGTTTGAAAAAGTGTTATTTACCACACCCTCTGAGTACAGCCTGTCTGCCAGTTCCCCACCTACCACACAAATCATTTGTCTAGACTGTAACGCATCAGTTTGTCTAGGAGGAAGCTGTGGAAAAAAAACAGAAGCCTTGGAGAAATCCAAGTAGACAATGTCCACCACTTACTCATCAACTGAACAGGTTAGTTTGTCATAGAACTTATACACAAATTATTTGTAATACTACATTTTCAAATTATTTATATTAAACACAAATTTAGAAAAAGTTGTTCTGCTCAATTATGCTTTACAGCACAAGTGAGACAAACATTGATGTAGAGAACAAAATGAGCAAAGAATTCCAAAGTGAGTTTACAGGAATTGTGATGACTCTGATTTGGTTTAATTAATCCATATAGGCTCTGAACAAAGAGACAGGAAGAGGATAAAGGACTGCAAGGCCCCATGGGTGGAGTCCAAACAGACAGAAGCAAACATCCCTGACATGTAGCCCTGTCCTGTAACCAGATCTCGTCTCTTCAACCACCTAATTTCCTTTGCAAAACTCCAAAGTTTTATTCACAGATAGGTGACAAGGCTGTAGATATGGTGGAAACATATTAGAATCACAGAAACATTTGGGTTAGAAGGAATCTTAGGATGTTTGTACAATTTCCGTCGCAGAGCAGGGCCAGCTTTGACATTAGAGCAGGTTCCTCAGGGTCATGTCTGGACAAGTGCGGTGTATCTCTGAAAATAGGGATTCTACAGCTTCTCTGGGAAATGTGTACCTAGTTTATAACATTCACATGGTGACTTTTTCTTCCTTACATCTAATCAGAATTTCCCTTGCTGACATCAGCCAGCTCCTTTAGCAGCTTTGGGTATGCCTGAGCCAGTCCCTGTTATTGGGACATTCAATCAGATTTAACACATCATTTTTAGTGAAGCAGAAATCAATATGCTGAAGACACAAGAACTTAATATTTTAGTAGTATTTACAGAAAGCATATATTAATACAAGTACATCTAATCCCCTTGACATTCTGGAGATGATTCGAGCTTTGGTTTGTGTTTGGCAATTTAAGCCACTGTGGGAAGTATCTAGTGTGCCATTTATAGTGTCTAATAAAGAAAATCGGAAGTTGCATAACTGATAAGAGAGAGCTTTTTTGGTATCTCTCCTGCAGTCTTAATCAGAAATAAACACACAGCTTTGTCAAAATGCTTGGGGTTTATCTTGCTTATTGTTTGTCTTTGTCTTTTGGAAAATTTTGTGCACCATCTTCCTAAATATAAATTTTTGAAGAGGAAAAAGTACCCAACACCAAAAAATCCCAAAGCTTTGTTCCTAATCATTACAGCAATAAGAATACTGTCATTGTCAATATAGAGGCAAAGCAGGAAAAAAAGAAGTGCAAGTAAAGAGACTATCACAAAAGATTTAGAGGTATAAAACTAATATATACAAAATTAACTCTGCATTATCACTGGATGGATCTCAAACAGGAAAATAGTCTCTGAATAAAACCTGATGATGATATGATGATATTTACCTGATGTATAATGCTTTCTGATTAAGAACGTTGTTTACTGTGTATTGATTTTAGTCTGTATTTAATCAATGTTGTGGAAGAGAGAAAGAACAGATGTTCCTTAAGAATACTAATTGCATATAGGGCTTAAGACTGAGGTAAAGAGAATTGGGACTATGAATTACATGGATCACAGTAATTCCTTTTCCATCATTACTACCTAGGTACTTCTTTTGCTGCTTAGCATTAGCAAGTTTTTCATACTGAGCTTTAAACTCTTTAAGATGTAACATTTAACTAGCAAGTTGGCTGCAGGGTAAGAAGCCCCCTGGTGATCCAGTCCTTGCCTTTGTGTATTAGCATAATGTCTGTAGTGAAATTCTAGTAAAGTGTATAAAGACATCTGTCCATATTTATG